GCACCGCGTGGACCGGCCCGGGCGGCGGGGAGCTGGAGGAGAGCGGCTGCTTCAGCAAGAGCAGGCCGGCTGTGGGCTCCCTTTACTCTGATTGCTGTGTGAACCGACCCCCCTGCCCCCAGCCCTGGGAGCGTTTCTAGAGACTGCCAAGCCTTTCACACACCACGGCTGGCTGCAGGGGGGGGCTACCAGCTGCCTGCCCCACACCCAGCCCTGCTGTGCCGAAGGAGCAGTGACAGGGCAGCTGCTACCGTCTCGCCCAAACTCTGCTACTGACTTTCTCTGTCACCTTGGGCAAGGCATTTATAGGTGCTGATGTACCTAGCACTTAATTCCAGGCCTCCGCAGAAAGGCCAAGCCTGTTTTAAAGTCAGTAATGTTCCTATGTATTTATGCACCTGCCCAAGCAGGAGCAGTCTCCGCTCGTGCCTCAGTTTCCCTGGTAAGCGAGACATTAACCTCCCTGACTGGGGCTTCACTCTGAATGCGCATCCAGGGCCGGGAGGGCTTTGGGCAGGGGCAGTGTGGAGCCAGCTGATCTCCCCACGCTGCTTCGGGTTGCGTATCAAATCCGGGACGGATTCCGCAGCAGCTGCTCCGGCCAAGGCCTGGCGAGGTGCTGGGCCTGGAGCAGGCTGCACCCAGGCGAGAGCTCTGCTGGCGCTGACTGGGGCTTCACTCTGAATGCGCATCCAGGGCCGGGAGGGCTTTGGGCAGGGGCAGTGTGGAGCCAGCTGATCTCCCCACGCTGCTTCGGGTTGCGTATCAAATCCGGGACGGATTCCGCAGCAGCTGCTCCGGCCAAGGCCTGGCGAGGTGCTGGGCCTGGAGCAGGCTGCACCCAGGCGAGAGCTCTGCTGGCGCCTCACGGGCCCCCTCTCCTCTGCAGGCCTATGAGAGCTCCTCCGAGGTGGAGCAGTTCGTGACCCGCTTCCTGCTGCGAGAGACCAGGAGCCAGCTGCAGGGCCTGCAGGCCTCGCTGGAGTGCGCCGCGGACACGCTGGACCAGCAGGCCGGGCGGGAGAGGTAACGCTGAGGGGCTGGGGGACCCTCAGGAATGCTTGGCAGAGGGCATGGCCCAGGGCGAGCTGTGCCTTGGGAGCCGCCCCTCTGCTTGTGCCCTGTGGGGTGTTGGCTAGTGGCCTCCTGGGGAGAGTGCTCCGCAGCCCGTCGATCCTGCGCCCTGTGACCCGCTCTCCCCCTCCGGTACCCGCGCACAGGCCCAGGGCTGGGACACGGGCAAGGCGGGCTCCATGCTCTTGCTGGGTCGGAGCCCTGTGCCTCAGGCTGTGTCTGCACTGCACGCCCCTGGGTGGCATCAGGGTACGCGCAGGCCCGGCTGAGTCCACACAGCTGCACACGGCCAGCCAAGGCCCTGGCTGGGGAGGCAGGGGCGAGCTGCTTTCCCCATTGCCTCTTCCCTGGGGCCAGAGCCTCTCCCCTCCCCAGGGAGCC